TTTATACATAAAAAAATTTACACTTCAGCATGTTCTCCAAAACCCATTTTTCCAGGTTAAAAAAAAAAAAAGTTACAAATATTTACAGCATTTTCTTGTGCTAGATGAATGGACTCAATGATGAAAATGCATTTTTTATGAATAGGATTGTATAAAATGAGAAAATGTCAGTAATTCATAGCTGTGCTACGTGTCTTGAATACAGTACTAAAAGCAGTCCATTAACACCTTGCCTTGATCCCGCACCATTTGGTTCACATTAAAATCCTACTTTTCACTAAGTGGTCCATTCACCATTAGTAGATGCAAATAAAGGCAACTTTGCATTTTGAAGCATCTCTTCTAAAAGAAGTTTGAGAGAAAATAAATTTTCAGAGAATGCCTCTTTAAAACCAGAACAGAAAGTCTTTGGTCAGAACAATGATGTGAAACTGTGATGTAAAAACCTGTTTGGTCAGCAACCTACAACTTGTGCTGCTGYGGTTCTGGGGTAAACTTTTGCAGAAAGTGGATAACATATCCAAAAACAATTACAATGTGTTTAAAGCTGACTTAGCACACAGTGGCTATATTGCCACTCATCATAAATTAAGCAGTTTCCAAGAATAACTGTTTTAAGTGATGACATTAGTCTGTTAAGAACTTTCTTGATCTGCTACGGACTTTCAGCTACAAAAATATTTCATTTCTTTATCACTGTCCTAAATCGGCAATCTGTGGATTATTTGTGAATGCCTGCATTTCACAATACAAATCTGTTTTGTAATAAAAGCATAAAGGCTAATTAAAATTGTACTAAAATAAATGCAATTCACTGTATGTATCATCAGTCAGTGGGAGAAAATTCACTTGTAACAATATCAGTGTACAATTTCCAGAAAGAAAAAAACTATATTATACATAAGACATTGCTAGGTATGAAAAAAACTACATTAAGACGACTGAAGGCACATAAACTTTGGTCCCATATTGTCCCCCATCCCTCTAGTAAAGCCCTGAAATTAAATAGTACAGACATTTTTAGTTCATTCTTGAAATAGCTCACAATTCCTAACTGCTAGGATTTGCTTTGAAAATAGCTGGCAAAAGCCTCACACATTACAAACAAATCTTCATAGGGCAGTTACGAGTCAACAGTTAGAGAAAAAAATTCTGTGCAATCTGAATCCYTTCAGCACAACTGTAAAAACAATAACTTTGGTAGTTTCTCTCTAGTTAATAGCATACCAGTACAAAAGGTAAAGGGGAACAAAGACTGCTTTTTTTTTTTTAAAGTGGTATTATTACTATAGATGGTCCACATCCTTCAAGGAGAGTGGGTACAATATGTCTGATCCCACAAGCTCCATGCTGCTACAATTCTTCCAACAGTTTTCCAACATACAAACACAGGCTTGCCACCTAAGCTCAGAAAATGCCACAATGGCACATCTCTTCCGTAGGCCATCTCTGGAATATACTCATCACAAAAGGCCACCCTATCTGTGCAGAATAAAACTGCAACTGGCCGGGCCAGCGGACAAGGCATTTAAGGCAAAGTTACAAGGGAACATTCCAGAAAAAAACTGAGAGAAGGGAAAGCTTTATCGTTATGCAACAGATCACAAGTCACTTGAAAAGGCACTAAGTTATTCCTGGGTTGGTAAGAGAGCCTTATTACATCCTGAACTGAGGAGAAAATGTGGTTGGAGGTGACCCAGAGCTGGTGGGGCCTTCCCAACACACAGGCAGGGAGCTCTCAACTCAAGACTAGGCAGAGTGAACAGGGGGAAAAGGGGATTTCATTCATTTGTCAAGAGTAACACAGTTAATGAAGTCTTCCCCTGCTACACTCAGATCAAAATGGGAAGAATTCTACACTCAAGCACTTTGGGTATCTGTAGTGAGGATTTAAGCACTGAGACCATTAGTGTTTTATAGTACAATTTCTAGGTCAAACTACACACATTACCAGGTACTGCATAAATGATTTAAGCCAAAGTTAAGAATCTGTGTTAAACAAGTTAAACGAGTCTATCTCGATTCCCTAATAGGACGTGATGGAAAAGTGGAGAGAGACAGATACTCTTAGGGAGCTGCAAAGTATCAGAACAGAATTATGTATTAGATGGGAAAAAAAATCTCAATGAGGACACTTGAACATTGCAATAATTGCTAAGAGAGGCTGTGAAATCTTCATTCTTGGATATACTCCAGACTTGATGGGGTGACTCTCTGCACARCTGCTATAGGGTGGCCCTCCTTGGAGCAGAAGGAGGGTCTAAGACATCGAGAGTTAGAGTATTAYTGTAACAGTCTATGGAATAATCATGTAATAAATAAGAAGTTATCGTTTTTAGTTACTCAAAGAGAGTTACTAAAATAGATAAGCCAGCCTTGACTATGACAACTGTTCTTTTAAGAAAACAATAAGATGTATTCTTTTTTTTTCTGAAGCTTTTCTGCAACTTTTGACAAAGCAGATATATCCCTAAGAGATGGCATCATTAAGTTGTACACAAATCTAAAGCTAAGGATAATTCAATTATAGAACTACAACAACAAAAGAGRATTACAAGAAAATACAGGAATACAGGGTAAATGTACTACTAAACTAAAAGCACACAGGAGATCCATTACACCAATTCTCATTAAATTAGAAATACATATATATCTCTGCTAATTTATACTGTAGGCCTCTATATTTCAAACTACAAACAATCAAGAGCTGAGATAATCAATAATCTAAAATTGAAAAATTACTCCCTTCTTTAGCAGACTGCCAGATGCCTTCATCCTTTAGATTCGTTCAATAATTCCCATTTCCTGCTATAAAAATCAATAAATKAAAATGCATGYGATGTGTATGCTTGTATGCCAGAATGGCATCTTACAAGGCAGTATTACAGAGACAGACATTGCTCTCAGTATTATATAYGCCCAAAATAATTCTCAACTTTAAGGCTGTTTTTAATCTGCTTTACATTTACATTCACATCCAACATAATTCTTCTCTGTAGCAGCAGTTCCTTAAAAAATTGACAGACCACGTTTTATGGATAATGCTTTTCTTGCTTGAGTGAGAGGTTGGACTCTCTGGATCTCCAAAGGTCCCTCCACCCTCCTGTGAAGTGATTCTGCAGTCATTCTGGTTTTATGAAGCCACTTTGCACACCATAACAAAGGGCATTCCYAGTCGGCTGGATACTTAACCATTATGAACTGGTAAAAATGTGACTGCTAACTGGGTTAAGCACAGATGAGAATTAAATATCTTGCTGAAAAAAAAAAAAGCCAATTTGCAGGTGAAAAAGCCCACTTACTGCTGCACTTYGCCAAAATCACATTGAAATGTTACTTTTTAATGTGCTACTTTTTGCACCACAGAATAGTTCATTTTCATATGCTCCCCCAAAACTGGTCTGAAACTTCAAATTGAATCATCTCTTTTGGAGACAGGAAACAGAAAGACTATCTCCAAAGCCAGACACAACATTTTCTATTATATTTAGGCCATTTTAAACTTTCTAGTAAGTTCTGTGCATTGTGGTGTAGGGCAAAGATTATATCCACACAGGTATTTAGTYTGATGTTCTACTTAGTGCCGAATAGCAGTTTCTTACTGCAGTACAGAAGTCTGCCAACTTTGTTAATATGCCTATCTGCTGCATTTACAATTAAATTATATGGCATTAACAGAAAGCAAATCTGGATCTTTTAGATRCTACAAAAATAATTCAGAGAGAAAGCCTGAAGTTGTTCACTTCTACACGCTCGGCTATTGCTAGGAATAGGATCATCATTCTAGAAAGATGATTCTCTTCAGAACCGTATTTCCCAACTGACAACTGGCATTAGAAGTACGAAATATTAAAATGAAAGACAAAACATTACAGCAGAAGATCTCTACTTCTGTAACTGTTAAAACAGATTCAGAAATAAACAACCACTGTGTTTGAAAGGAATATCTGCTTAAAAGRTGCTTAACTTTGAGAAAGTTGTAAAAAAAATAAAATCACTTTAAATCTAACTTTATAAACTAGAAGTGGAAATGATTAAGGCTATTATGTATCTTCAAAAAACAATGAAAAAAGACTGTAATGGTGTATTTAATGAAAAATATTGCGATAAAGCTAATGTATTTTAAAATTTAATGAAGATTACCATTTGAAGCGAGTTTGCTCTTTTGTCTTTTTTTTGTATAGGGTGATTCTGGTGCATTTTTCTGGGAGTAACTTTTTCAGAAACTGGGTAAGTAACCTTGAAGAGGCCTATACGAYCATGCAGAGTCAAACCTCACTCCCATTCTACTAAATTTCCATATCAAACTACTCACTAAAAAAAAAGAAAAAAGTCTTTGAAATAGCAAGTGAAATATTAAAAGAGAGATGAATAAGAAAATTTCCATCAAGTACACAATTTTTTTCTAGACATTTCACATAAAACACTAAACTATTGTATCATAAGCACATAATAAGGCACGTAATAAGAAATTAAGTAAATACACAGCAATTTGTTTCAACTATTAGAGATTATAGTGGTACAAAAAGCCTTGAGGTGCAATTCTTTTCCCCCAAAGAAGATTCTACGAAAAACAACTTCTTAAAAAATTTGTCAAACCATGATAAGACCCAAATACTTTCCTCAGGACTGTAAAATCTTATTTTTAAAAGAAATGTATGAAGCTCTTCGAAATCATGACTACTTTCTTTTCTCAATTTCTCAAATCCTATCATAGTAAAAATACCATGAATTAATCATACTAAGCCTCTGATACCACATCTTGAAGAAACTTGTCAAATGTCTTYGACTCCACAGAGAGAAGGCACTGCCTTTCCTCTAATAATTTAACCTCTGTGAATAACATGTAATTTTTAAAAGCTATTTTTTAAAGATCTGCAGAAGTATAAACACTCCTGCAATAAGATAAATACTATTCAATGGACACTCACAGTCAATGCTTGTTTTTCTTCAAGAAAACCAAGCACTATTTCACATTCAAATTAGTGTTTTATCTAAACAGAATAGGCTTACTATTTCAATAGAAATATTATTTATTTGGTATATTATAAAAATGCTAAAAATATTGTGTAAGGCTGACTTGGAACAAAAGGATGTTCTCAAAGTATAATTCTAATCAGGGAATTTGATGATAAATATTGTTGAATATTTAAAGGAACAAAGAAATTTCATAGAAGAATCTTTTTATGGAGAAATATTAAACTTTGACCACATCCTGGCAGCTGAAACTGGAAAATATCATCCCTTGATTCTTTACTGCATGTATAAATACACAAACTCAGAATGAACTTTCTGTTTTAAAAATAAGAGTTGGTCACCGCTGCTAGCGTCTGTCTGATGGTTTTACTAAAACCGTGATGCAGTCATAAAAGGAAAGTTCACAGCAAAGTCAGATTGTAGATTTTGAGAAGGAAACTCTGAGGTGATGTTTTTCTCCAAGGTCATGATTGTGAAGTTCAATGAGAGCCTGCACTGCTTCCTCCACGGAACCCAGCTGGATGAGAGCCATTTTGTGATCTTTCCTTAAGTACAAAAAACACATTATTAATCCTAACTAATTTTTCTCTGCTCTGAGCCAACACAAAGTGATGCAAATATTTTTTCTGATACTTCACTCCTTTGTACTGAGCACTTATATAATGAATCAGAATTAGCCAAGAACATACTAAAACAGACAAAAGTATGAAAATGACTGACAGTCTATAGCCACGGCTGCATCTCAAAGGTAGGCTTTAAAGAGGGCTGAAAGACCTCTAGCAAACACTTGCATACCACATACATCTTGCATATAGGGATTATTCCAGCAGTCATAATCATGTTAGAATAATGCCACCAAGGAGCCTTAATGAATGACACAAAAGCTCCAGTGTCAATTTTTACATGATGCTTTGCAGGAACTTTCTTTTCAAAACCTATTGTTATTCTTACTTTCGTTATGTTTACCTTCCTTTGAACAAATGAGGAATTTGTCAACAGAGAAGATTATAAAAAAAATTAATTGATGTTATATATTTCATTTAATTATGCTAATATAGCATCATATTTAAAATTTAAAGAGTAGGAGTATGGTAAAAATCATTACAGTAATACAGCTTTTGTCTATAGCTACAGGTTTATGTACAGATGGAATTTCCTCCTAAAAAATTAAAAAAGTTGAAAGACTTAAGCATTTTAACTTGAAAACTTACTGGAAGAACTTGCAGGCTTTCACAGTAGATCCAGTACTTGCAAAAAGGTTCTTCAGATCATCAACAGTAACAGAAGGCCTAATTTAAAACAAAAACAAAAAATTGCCAACTTGCATATGAGTACAGAATTCTGTAATAGTACCGAAGTTCCTGTTCTGGCTTCTACAATTAAACCTGACCACCATACAGTATCAGCTTGAGATCAGTCAACATTTTACGCCGAATATCTTAGCTTTGGCACTAAGATTTAGTGCTGCAGTGCACTACAAGGATATTTTTAGATATAATCTTATGTTTTTTCATCCTCCCTCATTCCTTCCCTTTAAAATTCAGAATGCAGAAAAATCACTAAACAGATTTACTAGTAAGCTCAGAAATAGCTTGGGTCTTGTACTCACTACTAACATGCTTTATACATTTTTGGCTTTGAAAGCCAAAAAATATTTTATTTAAAAAAAMCTCTTTTTTCGAATTTCCTACATTGATTTTTCTTATCTGGACATAATTCTATATTTTTTTTGTCTTATTTCCATGTTCCTGTCTGCACAGCTGCAGAACAAGAAAATCCTATGCAGATTTATGATGTTTGACCGTCATTTCACACTTTGTTGACAATATTCTACACTGAAAAGTTTAAGTTTTAAACAACACAATTCTCGATACTACTTTTTATTTTTCTGAAAAAACTTCCCTCCAGATAAGAAATCTAAGTTCTGTTAAAATTGTCATTTAAAATGTATTAAGTGATTAAAAACTGGATCTACATTACATCATAATGCCCATAATACATTTAAGCTAATGCAACTCTTGCACATTATCCACAAAATAATCTGTAACCAAAAAAAAAAAAACAAAAAAAAACCCACAGGTGCAGGATTTAGGATTAGGAAATGAAAAACGAATGCATCTTCTCTAGAAAATATAAACTTTTTTTATAACTCATCAAAAACAGTTTCAATCTTTTATCCTTTTTGCTAATGATGGAAACAGTATATCAGTAACTGTATGAGGGTTTGCTTATTGTTAAATTATACAACAAAATAATATTAATAAATAGTCAGGAAACTATGGAAGGCACAGGAAATTATGCAAGGCAATAGGCAAAGGGCTTATGCCAGACTTTGTATCCTGAAAACACAACCTGAAAACAATCATTTCTCCAAGAGCTGCCCCTACTCACGGGATGTTGGAAAGATGCAGGGTGGCAGATGGAGGAAAGATATTTTGGAAATTCTTGGAGCCAGGCTTCTTAAAGCGATGCAAAGGGCTATTGCTATAGTCCTTAGTCAGACCTTGGTCCTCTTGTCCCTCACGAGGAAGCTGCACTGTATGATGTTTTGAGAGAGTAGCACGGAGCAACTTTCCATACAGCCTCTGTCCATTCAAGTGGCTCATAGCTAACCAATGTATCAGAAATAGGATTTGAACAGGAAAACAGATGAGGGGAGGAGAAGAAAAAAAAAAAAGGATTATTTGAATACTGCTGCCAAKCTGTCTTTAGCATAAAATTTTCCATTCTCTATTTAAGTAGCTACTTCAGTCATTACCAGGTGGGCTAGGTTTGCCTTCGTAATGTTATATCTACAATAAGTATACCGATGCTGTATAACCCATTAACCAAACTGCAACAAAAACGCAAATCATCTTTTCACAGAAGAATATCTCATTATTCTTGAAAAACTATATGTAGAATAAAAACCAGGAAAATTCTAAAATAAAATCTCACAGCATTATTATATAGAGACTTGTGGATTTTTTTGTCAAACCACTATCGATAAACAATTAACATGGAATCCAAGAATTCAATACCAACATACAAAAGCAAGCTTGTATGTAGTAAAATATCACATATTTAATTTATGTTAGCCACTGACAGATGACAAATTCCTAACACACGCTATTTTCATGCTAAATAGTAGCATAAATAAGCCTTAAAAATCCATACCTAGCTGAGCCTGGCTTGCATCTGCCATTTGAACTAAAGCATTTTCTTTTTTGTTAAACATAATCTTCACACGATGCACATCACCATACACACCTGTAGAAATCCAGAAAAGGATATTAGGTCAGGATTAGGATTCAGTTTATTAGGATATTATATTGCTATGAACAGCACATACGGATTTTTTTTTTGATGAAAAACAGTGTTACAAAAAATAGTTAACTCATGAAATCAGCTTGCTTTGAATGAAAAAGAGCATCAAGCCGTTCATTATCTACTGAAGTTCAAAATTTTGAGYCTTCCCTTGCAACAGCCCTATCCTYTGTCACAAAACTGCACATTCATTTTTAACTGCTAATTAGTGCAAAAATATGAAGATCCTCTCAGTCAATACATGAAAGCATTATCCTACTACCAAACATTTTCCACAAAATAACATACGTGACAATTCCATCATTAGCAAATTCCTCTAACAGTTTTTGTTTCCATCCTTTTTTACTTTCTGATTCTTCATAGCATAAAAACAGACATGAACATGCACACCGAAATTCCACTGAAACTCTTAACTGGCTTTGCATTTCAGGTACTTGTGCCCTACAACTACTGAGCACCAACAGTGCATTCCAGCACATTCTCCTTTATGTTTTCTGCATAAGGACCAAAACAGTGCAATGGTAGCTAATGAGCAAATTATGTATATAAATGACATATGTTTTATACCCATAAGATCTTACCAAACAGGATGAAGAGTCCATGTGGTGTGATGACCTGTTTAAATGATAAAACAAGTATACCATTTTTTAAAACAGTGCAAATAAAATAGGAACAGAATCTCTAAGTACAACAAAACAAACACAAGAAATACTKCACATAAACATGTTTCCTGAATTTGTTGAGGTTATTTCCACGAGCCACTGAAGGCATAGAGCCTTCTAATTAGTATACATTTAGTAATCATACAAAACATTTAGACAATGTAACAGTTCAATCTATCATGCTGACGAAGCAGTTATTAAGTGGTTTAATCTAGTTGAATCTACTCTTCTCACACTAGCATTTCATTCACGGAAAAATGAAAGACAATCGCTAAACCAAAAGTAAAAAAGAAAACTCAAGAGCACTTTGTAGGTATTTCTACACAGAAGACAACATCTTAAAAAATAAACCAGCTGCTTCAGAATGTATTTGCTTTTTCCTCAGCTTTTCTTCAATTTTGCCTCCATCTCTGCATATCACCATGCTGGGTTAAAGTTGTGCATTTACTATGTAATTGCTTAGATATGAAGCACAGAGTGGTATTTACATTGTGACCAATTAAAACTGCAAACTGAAGAAGTATTGAATGAAATGGMTTTAATTCACTAAATGCTAGTGTAAAAAGTACCACAAGCACCTGAGAGGATAATCTGTACCCTAAAGTCAGTTTTTATCCAACTGAGGGAAAGCTTTTGACAGCAATAATTACTAACAAAATCTAGGGACCAGTAGTAATACTCTGTCCTATAGCTCCATGCTTTATCCATGTAAATTGAAATTGGAAAGGGAATTTTTGTTCTACAATCACAAGAAACTTGTGAATAAGAGTTCTAACRCAGTTTTCAGAAAAACAGGATGTATATTACTTTAATGAAGCACAGATGTGCAATATTTGAGCTATAGCAGTACGGTTACAAAGTGATCTGTGCCATTTCTGCTATAAAAATAATGAAAGTCCTTTCCTATCAAGTTGTAAGAACAAGAAGGAAAAGATCAGTGCAGATCTACTACGGTGAAGAAAAAAAACAAGTCTACAGAGTTTGCAGTATTCAAGGATGCTCCTGTTCTTATTTCTCTCAAACCCAGGCAATGGTCTAGACAAAACTAGAAATTTCCTATCAGTGCTCTCGAAGGCCCTTTGTTCACAATGTTTTTATCTCCTTTTCTACTCTCTCTAGTTTCCCTCTTCCTATTTCGTATGAAATGAAGAATTTTTTAGGCTTCTCTAATAATGAAAATGCTTTAGGAGGAGTCTTATTAGTAGAGTGTGAGTAGACCAAGTGAATTTATCAGTAGCGTAAGTTGCTTACCTTTTCAAAACAATTCTTATACCTCAGCATAAACTCTTCTCTGATTACTATGTTTACTTACACTGCTACAACAAATGGCAATAACTGTTTCTCAAGTTAATTTGTGCTGATTAGTAGTCTCCCACCACTAGCTGGACCGTTCATTCCTTATCAATACTGCAAATTGTCTCAATCCTAAAAGAGCTGTCCTATTTTTGACACTATCAACAAAATATTAACAGCTTTTATACCTATAGCTGATTTCAAATTTTGGTAAGGATTCTAGCAGTTAATATTACTTTAGTACCTAACCACTTGAAGTGATTCCACCAGCCAGACTTACTTCAGAGTTGAGGTTGCTGACTAGTAAAACAGAATTTCCTGGAACAGCAGTAGCACCTGGGAGAGTCATCCGTCCAGACACTGCAGAATTGGGCATTCCAAGGGGACCAAGTGTTCCAGGAACAGATGGAACCGAAAGACCTGGAAGAGAATTAAGAGTCATATAWTATCTCAAATAAAGTGCTAAAACTTTAGAAAAAATTAGAGGCAGACTTAAGTTTTTTTWAAAAAATCGTAACACTTAATGAAAACAATGTTGTCATGTACTTCACTTACTYCTAATAACCAACTAATAAACTAGGAAGTATCCCTCAGCAGGCAAAGAAATATTCAGTCATAGCAAGGGACCACAGAGGGTCATAAACTGCAATGCAGAAAAGATGAAAAATTATTTACCACAAAAGATAAMCTTGTGGCAGAGAGACAGAAAGTTTTCCTGAGTTTGGAGAACTATTTATTTTTCATTTTCTACCCAGAGAAGGGGAAACTTACTGCTTTATGTTTGAATGTCAAAGACTACTTATGATCTTTAGGAAAAAAAAAAAAGATGATGTAAGAGAAAGTTTCTTCTCTTGCAGGTAATCTTTTTCAAGGTATTTCTTTTGAGATGGGAGATGCATCAACTTATGTTCTTTATTATATAAAAAAAGACTTAATTGAATAGTATGATGTGCAAAGAAAATGAGAATGCCTCAAATGAGCTTTGTATTCTGACTGCTGCATTTGAAAATAAGTGCTGTGTTTTGACAGACCACCAACCTTGATTGCAAACACATTTACACACTTTTAAAGAAAATAGSAACAACTCACTGGTAGCTTGAGCAAAGCCAATGGCTGGGGCAAATCCAGCAGGTCCTGAGTATGAGGAGGAGATAATACCTGAGGCACCTAGAGACAGGACACATATCTAATTAAAACASATTTAATATATTTATAAAATAAACAAGACTTCAGAAATGACATTCAACAACCAATGCTGCTATTTCTACCTACCTCGGGTAGTAGATTGCCTATAAAATGTTAAATGATTGAAATCTCCAATTCTATATTCAAAGAGATAATTTTCAGACTTATTATTTAAATGCAATTATTCAGATTACGTTCAGTTTCCACTYCTAAATGAAGTCATGGCAAAATGCAATGTAAACTAGTTTGATCAGTATAGCATAAATCAATACGCACTGGAGCTTACGCATACACATCTGTGGGACAGTGTTCACTTAATAGTTGCTTTTATTCATAAAATGAAAATACATTTCAGATATTCCCAGAAAGAAAATGCACTCAGGAAGGACRTGTTTCAATGAGCATATACTTACTTTGAAAATATATTTTTTTCACTGTGGTTTTCATCCTATGGCCCTTTGCATCTTCCCAACAGTATTTTTCATGTTCTGGTTTCAGATATTCATTTATACAGAATGGAATTTTCTACTTTCCAAGCAAATTTTACTGGAAGCTAACAATTAGAAATGATTGTTTCAACAGAACCAATAGGGAGTCAGAACACAAACCCATCAAGGGCAACACAACATTAAAAACATATCTGTCTGACGGTGTGTGTTTATTATTAGTAGGGAAGATTTCTTACCAAAGGCAGTGGCTATGCTGGGTTCCAGGGAGGGCTGGCCATCACCAGAAGGAAGGTCAAGGCGAGTGAAATCTCTGCTTTTGTCATTGTTGTACTTTACATTAAGGCTAGTTAACTTGGAGAAATCAATACGCAGAGTGCAGCACGCATTGTAGACGTTCTGGCCATCCAGAGCCTGAGGAAGAATAGTTACGGTTTCTACAGCTCCCACTTCAAATATGTAGTTTCACCTCACAACTGTATTCAAGCAGAAATAATTCTTTTCTGTTTAAGGTGCTGCTTTAAAATGTCAAAAGGTGGAAAATCATGCTGTTACTACCCTTTCCAAAATATGCTCTGGAGAGTATTACCAYAGTCCAATACTTAGTAAGAATTACTTTGCTTTGTGACAATGTATGACACACAACTTCAAGGATAACTTGCATTCCTAGATGTGCTTCTATCTTACTTGTCTCACACTCAATACATAGTGCTGGTAGTGACACTAATTTTGATATCTTACTATGCACCAGGAGCAAAGAAATACACACTTTTATAATTCTCTCTTTCATATTACAAAAATGAAAATCCACCTTTTGAGTCGCGATTTTGCTCAAAGAAATCATTGAAGTAGCAATTTCTCCAGAGACACAACATAAAAAAAAAACAGGAATAGAGAAAAGGAAAAAAAGACACTCTGAAGCTACTCTTTGGTCATAAATTATAGAATTATAATTTCAGTTTAATATATATTCATAGCAGTAACAAAATACATTTACCTGAATTTTTAATCAGGTATCATTCATTATTAATGCTATTTTAATATTCTAATACTATAAGAAAAAAAGGGTAATAAACAATATATAGATCAACTACCTTTATTAATTCATGATATATACTTAATCTTGAAAACACAATAGATTTATCTACTAGGCAACTAATGGAAAACTAGACAAATAAAACAAACACATATCAGCTGAATACACTACACTTACCATTTTGGCATAGTGTGCATTCATTGGATCAGCATATTGAAGCAAAACTTGAAATTGACTGTTCTTTGTGAAGGTGATAATCTTCAAGACAGTTCCAAATTTAGAGAAAATCTRAGAAGGAAAAATATGTAAACTTTTTCAAAACATGAAGAATCCATCCACATTAAAAACTAGCAATTTAATATTTTCTGTAATTTTGGAAGAGCAGTTTCTGCTCTGAGAGCTGAACAGAATTTTTTTTTTCTGTCAGAATTTTGCTTCAGAAAATGTTAGAAAATGTTGATAAGGAGGGGAGGAGGGATAAAACTTCCAGAAGAGCTAGCAATGAATGTTCAACAAACAGTGTTTAAGTTCACCCTAAATAGRCCCTTATTCAGTGCCTACAAAGATACTGTTGATAATGAAAGTGAATGCTTGAAAAATGGAATGTCACAAGCTGATAGAAACAGTGACAGCAAACTGCCTTTGGAGATATCAATATTTAAAATTCTATATGTCAAATAAGTTCTGCAAATTTAGTGGATGAAAGTACAGTCTAATATAGCTCTTGTCTCTACAGATTAGTTGCGCAAAAGCAAAACTAGATAAACTAGAAGTTAAGGAAGAAAAAAATATCCAGTTTGGGTCCTCAAATTTTCAATTGAATGGTATTTATCACATGTGCAAGCTCTATAGAAGATTTTTACATGCTGAAACTACATGCAAAGTTTAAAAATCAGAATGTTCCRTATACAGGTACATGAAAGGATGCTCTCAAAAAAATAAGAAAAAAAGCATTATTAGTCTGCATCATGCAAAAAGACTTAGGTCCTATGGAACAGTGGGAAAAGCAACAACAACAAGACTTTGGGAAGGAAGTACTGACAACAAATTTAAGCCAGATGTACAGTGCCAGCAAAAGAGTAATTGAAAAGGTAAATCAATATTGAGTTTTAGAGCAAACTATCATAAATAATGCAAAATAATACGGTAGTCAGGAAAGCAGAAATCCCATCTTGCCCCAGAAAAGTGTTAATCCTGGAACAGACAGAAACGCCAGGTATGCTCAAGCACCTCTTATCAATCAAGAAAGCCTAGAACCATGGATACAAGACACACTGTCCTAAATCTTTGTGGTCTCTTCTCTCTCAGTTTTTATGCTAGCTTAAATTTAGCTCTTGGGCTCACAAAGCACTTCTCAACAGCCAAGCTCCGGACTCTGAGTGTGAGCTTTYCCTTGTATATTTTTACATAAGCAAATAAACCTTTGTAAGGTAATGAAATTGAATGTATACTGATTTATTTTTAAACTGAAATCCAATGTATATGTATCAACATTGTTTCTACACACATAACTCTGAATATTTGCTATTTTGCAATAAATATTTTTAAGTAAATTTGGTTTAAAAAAGGTGAAAATGTTCCTAACAAGCGGTTATAATTCACAATATATTATCTAATTTTGGATGACAATTTACAGTATTCTATATAATACTACCATAATCAAGGAAATTTTGCATTTTCATTAACCTTATCACACTGTTAAAAATGTGACCTTGTAGCTATCTACCATACACAAAATACTATTCTAATTAGAAGAGAGTGTGCCTTGCTAAAAATTCCAAAGAGGATTACTTTTCAAACATAACTCAGCTATTTTTGCAGTAGATTTAGAATACTGAATACGGGTCTCTGAGCAACATGAAATACAGTTTTGCTGCAATTAATTATTAGTTTTATTAAAGTAACTGAGCATAAGCTCCAGTTCTTCTGCCTGCTTATTAGCATAGCATCCAGGGTTAGGTCCAGGAACAGCTTTTGCASTGTTAAAACTATTAGAGCTTCCATAACCATGGAAGTTAGTACACTCGGAATAATCTGAGAACAAGTAATATTAAAATATTAAGATATTCATGCGTTTACAAACAATGAGTGAACAACACTAAAATTCAAACAAAATATATAACCATGCTAATTGGTACCCCAAAGTCTGAACATAAGTGTGTTAGATAACTGGTCTCATGGGGTGACACAGGGGAAAAAGAGTAAACATAAAAAAGCAGAGGAAAAAAGACTGTATTTTACAATCATTGTGTGAAATGCTTAAGGGGAGCTCCAATGAGAACAAATGCAAAAAATTTCCCGACAGAACCGTTTATCTTTGAAAGAGATTCCCAATCATTTTAAACCACATTAATAGAGATCCAATAGATCCAATGTATTTGTGGTGTGTTTTCTGTTGCCAAACTTACTGGTTCTTTCAAAAACTTCAAGTATGAAAACCTTATGTGATATCCAAAGGAAGTGCTAATAAAATTTTCAGGCACTTAGAAATGGTCTCCAAGAGTTACTGCCTTTAAGCGTTTAGGTATCGACAACTCCCCTGCAGGGTTACAGTAAAGTCTTCCACAGCTATAATCCCAAATTAGCTTGGAGTGAAGTAGCTGACATTCTACCATTTGAAGAAAAACTGAATATATTCAAAATAATATATATGTCAAATATATTATATATATATCCAAAAATATTAGTAAAAATATTTGTCCAAATAATTATATTAACACAAAATATTGCCTCCAGAGAAAAAAAGAGAAGAAATTAAACCATCAAACATAATGCAAACTGCAACATTTACTTGGTATGAAGAGTGCTAAAGTATTTGCATACAAATTTGCATTCATACAAATCACTATTTCACTTCCCTGTAATTTTGGCATATGTTAGAAGTAGCAACACCCCATGTTGGTTGCTGCTAGGTCACAATTCTGACTTTCATCTTAATCAACAAAATAAAGAAGTGAAAGATAACACGAAAAACTGTTTATGGAACGATTGAAGCCTTGATCCATAAATTACAACAAATAGCTTTTGAAACTACAGTTTTCACTCAAACTAAGAAATCAAAATAAGGGYCCAATAAAAAGTTAAAAGTTAATAGTGTAAATCTTTTAACAAATTAGTCCTCATTACCTGATACAGCACTTCCAAAGTGACAGGATAGAAAAGATTTTCAACAATGATTCGAAGAACAGAACTTTGACCTGGAAGGAGCCTAAATTCAGTAGCAAGGGCCCCTGTGATAGCCAGGCTTCCAGACTGCACAGCATTCACAGCTTGCAATGCAGCTTGAGTTCTCTGAAATGGGAAACACATGGGAGAATTAACCTACACTTGCAAAAGTTATACATAAGTAAAAGTTCTTTTTCAAATAAAACATAACAAATTTTTTAAACTACTTCCCCTTTATCTGACTACTCATCAGAATTCCAGGTGAGCAGTAGGTAAGTCAATACTCCTCCCTTTGCTTCCCCAGCCCCCAAAACAAGTCATATCATACTTGCACAGAATACAGGTATGATATTCTGAAAACCTACATCATCATTTGAGGAAGGTAAAAGATTTTTAGTTATATGTTTATCGCTTTTTTTTTTATCTTAATGCCCTATAAATGCAATTTTGCACTCTTTCTGTATATTTTTTGTCATTGAATAGATGTATATTCTAAGAAATCATTATCACAACTATATGTCAGTGGATAAACAACCAGTGAGCACACCAACAACCATTTCCTGAGCTGCATGAGGATTTCTTTCTCTTCACAAGCTATGTTTTGCTGGTAAGAAGCTTGAAGGTGCTTACCATGCTCTTTTTTTCCCAGTCAAGCTTCTCCCCACAAAATAACTCTTTAGATCTTACTTTTCAAGTTGATGATCTGGGACCTGGRGGTCCCTACGGTCATTTTTAGCAGGCTTTTTTCCAAAACATCTTCAGGCTACCTTTGAGAGATCTATGGGAGTATTTTCTTTCCAGATATACTTGCAGCTTGAAGCCATATCTCCATTAGATTATTGCCTTGGAAGATAGACTAAACAYGGCATAGATACAGTTGTTGTCTACTTTTGTAAACATTCAGTTCTGTAAAAACTGTCCTCAGGCCTGAGCTGCTGCACTAAAAGGTCTGTAACACACTGCTCAGCTGGTCTGCTAAAGATACCCAAAAATTTGAACAGAATTCAAATGCAAGWGATATAAGTGAAGAGAAAACAATACATATATTTAAAGGTAAATGATATTAACAGGAGCACAAAGCAGAGGCTGAGTTACATATTAAGTTGAAAATGCTGTGAGATACAAAATGTCTTATTTTCAAATACAAGTGTAGTTTTCCCTTATTATGGAAATATATTATTAAATATGTGTTATTTTTTAATAACAAACCRATCCAACAACCTTGGATGAGAAATGATACAAATAACCTTTAGCAGATCGAGAAACCAGATGTCAGTGACTTTCATACCAACATAAATTAAAAATAAGCACTGTTTTGGTGTCAATCACAAYTTGCAAATTTCCTACAGAAGACAAAATTGATATACAAGTGGCATAGGTTTACATAAGTAAAAGACAGGCCAAATGCCTGGAATTTAAAAATTTAAGTGGTTTTCAACTGTAATATGATGATTTGTATATGTTGATCTTATTCTGAAAAACACCCTTATTTCCTTCTTTCAAAATTAGAATAAAAATTAGTTATCTGCAGGGMTCAGTTTACATTCTTAAGAAATCAGTTTTAACTGCTTTAAAAAAATAAGGTGCTTAGCTTTTTATATAASTCTGGTGCTGGGTTTATACAACATCATCTGTATGTATCATTGRAAATATTTTATTCTATCTATATCCAGTGAATTTAAGTTAGCATTARAAACCTGAATACAACTGAAAGACTTGAGATTTCCTGTTTGCGATTTTGGTCAGTCCTTGGAAATAGATGTTGGACCTCTTGTAAGTTGCCTTCATATGATCTGTATTCACTATTATTATAAGATGYCTTGCAAAAACATTGACCTCAAATTAACTACAGATATGTACTTTCTAGGCAAAATGAGCTCATAATGCTTCAGGYGCGCTTTCTCCCTCTTGTGTTACTCATAACATCTACAGCCACAAGGAAAGAATTTTACTTTAACAACATCTATGAAAATGAAACAATGCATTCTTGTGATACATGTGCTACTGTGTTATTCATATAGGAGCAGGAAAAAAATCCTAATCACTTAGTGAAAAGAATTTACTGCAGAAGGCTGTCTCTCTATATTCTGAAGCTATTGAGAGCTGTTACCCAATGTTAAAACTTAAGAATGAGAAAAGTTCTTTCAAAACATACTAAACTGCTTACTAACTGTAGTATCAGTAACCAGGTATGCTAAGAGCAMAGAATATAAAAAAGTCCACAGAAAACTGAAGCTAGAAACATAAGTATGCCAAGRTAACTTAAGGGGCTAAGAAAACACTAAAACAGTAAAAACATCACACAAACATTGCACTAAAGCAAAATAAGCCTCCAAAAGACAGATTTCATAGCACATAAAAAAAAAAAAATGTAATCAGGCAAAATGTTCTGACTTCTTTAAATAATTTATCTCTAGATAAATTATTTGTCTCTAGAACGTAGCAGTGCTAGATGGAGTATTTTCCATGCAGATCAGTATTAGGCACAGTCATGTGTATTTTATGCAGTCCCATAACCAACTGCATTGTAAATTACTGCTTTAACAGTGAAGTTTTCATTGAACTCTAGCTTCTTAGTAATCATAAAAGTGCTTTTCCAACTGCAGGTGTTGGAAGGGCACAGATAAGAAAAAAATAACTGCACCATTGACAAAAGTAACAATATTTTGAGATAACTGTATCACTCTTTGAACACATTCAGGTATTCAAAAATACCTATGGCATAAATATTTGCCTTCTGATGTAATTTTCAGTACTGAGTCAGTCCTATATTTGAAAACAACTGGATAATTAAACGATTGGGGCAGAAACGAGCGAGAGTGCGAAGTTTTTTGATCTACAAAGAGTGCAGATGAACCACAAGATTGTCTAAACCCCACACTTGAGAAGCTGAAGTTGGTGGAGTGGAAAGATAGTGGTAAGAAGAGCCTTGTTTATTCAGTTTAGCCTCGGATTTGCACTTTGTTATGAATATTGCTTTGCAGCAAGTAATCTTTATTCCAAGGAGGGCATAGTACTGGGTCTTGTAGTTTACACATGATTTTTTTTTAAACTCTTAAGCCTTGAAGGTTTCAAAAAAAAAAAAGAGCCAAAATCTTTTTATGTAAATGGATTTTATAATTTATGTAAATTGATATTAAAAATYGAATACTGAACTGCAACTGCTTTAAGTGTTACCATTATCACCCAGACTTTCTACTTTCAAAACAAGCCATTGCTAATACGCAGCATAAGTAGCAGTCTTGAGAATGACCAAGGGATTCTATCATCAAATTCTATAATCAGACTTTATGTTTGGAAGCAACCAAAAGCTTTCTATTTCAGAGAAAAAATGAGAAAGCTTTTCTGCTTTGAAAGGCGTAAAAATGTGTTCTCAAAATCACAGTACCATGGTTATTTGGAAATAATGAAATAGATAACACCATTTCTAAGATAACTGAGCTTCTGTCCGTGATTCCTTAAAATACAGTGACCCAATCTAAGAGTTCGCTGTTACTGAGATTCAGAGATTCTGCTGTATTCTTCCTTTTGTAACAGGCTAATTCAACATGTTAATCTTCCTCCCCCAAACCAAACAAACCAACAAAACAACAACAACAAACTTCTTCTGTTGCCAAGTTATGGACAGAATCACTCAGAAGAATCCAGGAAGCACCAGACATGAGACAGATCAGATAAAGAACAGAGAAAAGCCACAGAGCTGCAGGCAGAAGGATGGATGAGCCAGACCCTCTCCTTTCGGCAGCAATTAGCTGTTAGGCGAGCTCAGTTACTCACGGAACTACCGCCTCAGGAATTCCTCAAGTTTTTTAGTTTTTAGTACTGTTATATTTAACAACAAATATCTATAATAATGGAGTTGTCCATCTCTTATCTCTTACTAAGCTTGGACTAGAAGTCAATTTGCATTATCACAGCCATGAGAAACTTTTTTCCGTAAGTCTTATGATTATTTTTTTATGTAAAAAAAGTAACATCAGGAAGGATAACCTCTTTGGCCATGCAGTTAGTTCACTCTACATTTGTAAGACGTGACATGCCATTTAAGAAAGAGAAGAACAGCTGTTTACTGCAAAATTGACTGTAGGAATAAGAGGTACAAGAAATATTTTAAATGTGTCATTATCTACAGTTTCTTGGCACTAYGTTCTTGGAACTACTGAAAGACAGAAAAATAATTTTGCAGCAATCTTTTTCATATGTTAACTGATAGGAAATGGAGCCTTGAGGAATTCATTAGTTCTATCTATTAATTCCTAACAAAATGAGATTCTTAGGATCTATAAAGGCACAGAACCTGAAGTACTTGTTCTTTCACATTTTGATTCATGCATTTTATGTTTGGGCAGCAAAAAGGATGGCTGTCCTGGGGGGCATTAGTATTCACACAGAACCTCCTGGAAGATGTAAATGTTTCCTCCACAAAAAAAAAATTGTGCTTAATGCTCAAGTCTCTAGAGGAGAATATGGCAAATAATKAAGTCTTCAGCACCAAATACAAACTGGGAAATTCCTAGAAGAAGCAGTGAACTTTCAAGTAATACTACTACAGTTGTGTCTCACAGATGACAAAGTAAAGAAAGAGTTAGCCCAAGCAGGACTTAAAGTAAAAGGTCAACCATGCAGGAACACAATGGGTAGATTTGCTTTTTTCAAAAACGTCCATCCATCACTGTTAGCAGAACCGATTTTCCTTACTTACAAGGTTGTTCCTTTCCAGCTGCATTTCAGGTTCCACACTCACTTTATATAGGCAAGGTAGCTGCACCTCAAGTCTCTGATCAGCTAAAACAGAATAACTGGTAGGGTTGGCAGGGAACTCTGAAGACTGTTTAGTCCAACTCCTCTGCTCAAAGCAGGGTCAATTACAGCAGGTCGTTCAGGGGCTTTTCTCATTAGATATGACCATCTCCAAGGCTGGCTACTCCATAACCTTTCCAGTCAATATGTTCSTCTGTTGGATAAACCCTTTGAACAAACCTCATCATAAAACCCATTTTTAAAAAATGCTTAAGTCAAACTTTCCTCATTTCATTTTGTGCCCACTGCCTATCATGCTGCCACTGGCACTACTATGTTCCATACCTCCCTCCATCACACATGATGCGTGTACACACTGCCAAGATCTGCCCCACTTTTCTTCTCCAYACTGAACTATCCCTGCATGGCAGAGGGGACAATCACTGCCCTCCACAGGCTGGTAACGCGCTGCTAGTCCAGCGCAGGCTGCTGCTGCCTTGCTCTACTGCAAGGGCCAATACATTGTACATCAGCACTGCTGGGTTCTTCTCTGCAAAGTTACCAACCTGTACATTGCCAGTCTGTCCAGGAAGATGTTATGAGAGACAGAGCCAAAAGCCCTAATCAAGATTACATCCTGTGCTCACCCCCAAGCATTGAGCCTCATTGCAGAAAGCTGTTAGACTGCTCAGGAGGGACCTTTCAAAGACAATCCACAACATGGGCCAGCTCAGGTCCACTTTGTTTAAATGGCATCTAATCCACCAGGGCTAAACCTTCATAGGTTCTGACCTTCCCTTCAGTCTCACGGGCTTTGGATTCTTGAGGGCAGCTCCTACCAGTAAACGTACAAAGAGGGTACCCCATACCTCTGCCTTGTTCATGCGCTTCATCATCAGAGCCCCTGAATCATTAGCAGTGGGGCCAATATTTTTGCCTACTTATCTTTTGCTGCTGATAAGACTGTAGAAGCTCTTCCTGCTGCCGTCCACATCCTCACTGAAGGCTTTGGTTTTCCCTGCATGCTCAGGCAGTGCTTCCATATTTCTCCTGCATCACCTGTCCCTGCTTCCACCTCTTTCATGCTTCCTTTCTATGTTTGAATTTTGTCAGGAGTTCCTTGTTCATCTGTGCAGGTCTCCTGCTACCTTTGCTTAACTTCCTCTCATCAAGATGGACCACTCTTCAGCTTAAGGTCCTTCACAGCACTTCTACTCTGCTGGAATGAATGGAAAGCTTACAGTCCAGTTTGCAACTAAGGGAGATAGAAGTTGACTTTAGAAGTTGACTGCAGATGTAGTATTAGCAGAAAGAAGTTTGCTTATTTGTTAGTAATACAAGTGCAATTCTGCCCTCTTAAACGGAAATATTATACTTACAGCCTGATTAGGTAGATTGTCAGTCTTAAGTTCTCTGTGATTGGAAAACTGAATATAAACAGGTTGACTACGGAGCTGAGGTGTAACAGGAGTATAATAGTTCACCATAGTAACAGCAGCTTCTTCAGAAGCCATTTCCAAAAAAGCCTGGAATGAACATACAGAAGTTTTCAATGTTCTTTTGGTTACATGAAAAAAGAAAGCATCAAAGCATTACTCCCAATTCCATTCTCACTAAAAAAACCCATGTGAAAGTATAGTAGTGTTTTTGCTCAGTATTTAAATACATGTGCACTTGTGTGTGTGTGTGGTAATGGGGCTGCTTTGTAAGGTGTTTATAAAAATGATTTAAGTACAATAAATCATTAAAGAAGAGATGGAATAAATATAACATTAGCTATGCTACTATCACTTCACACAAGGATTAAACAAAAACTAATTCTTATCTCACTTAAAAGCGGACTCATCTTTATCAGGCAAGATATTTCAATACAGCTGTCAACATCAGTAATGGGAATGAAGTTCTTGATCTATGTATTTTCACATATGATGGATATAATGTTAATCAGTATTAACTTATTAGTAGTGAATTAATCCAAAATTATATAAAACTGTTACGATAAATATCAATACATCCTTCCACATCTGAAATAAGAATATCTTGAGAAATTATTGAAATATTTAGACATTACTGCAATTCTTTTAAGTCAAGCACAATACAAAAATGGTCATATAACACAAACCACATTTCTTCAGCCCTGCTTGTATATTGAAATGTTAAAAATAACATACCTGACGCTTTCCTTTTAGCATCAAGAGGTTGGTTACTTTGCCGAAAGGGAGACCCAAAGAAATAACTTCTGCTTCAGTGACATCACTTGGAATTTTACGAAGATGGAGGACACGAGAGGGGGAGCATGGAGATCTGTTGCCTTTAAATTTCTTGCTTTCATTCCCATTAGCTAAAATAATTTAGGGAAAGGGACAAGAAAAGAAGACAAACAACAAGATAAATTACACAGTGTAGATGCCAAAATCTAAAAGCGAGAGATTGTCCTCTCAATATGGACACTGACTGTTATTTAGAGCTATCTGAATTTTAAGGAAGGACAGCAGTCAAAGGAGAGTTTAAAGACCCCTACAACTCTTCCAGATTTCCAGTATATTTTTGAAGGCTTACAGACACAGGCCAATAACGAGATTTAGCTACTACCTTGAGTGATTTTTATTAAACAAAGCCTAGTATTCTGCAAGCTTATAAACTAAAATGTTCTTAAATGAAATACACATATTTATGAGTCATGGCACTCATAAATATTCTAGCACCTGCTACTTCAGTAAAGAGCTTATAAAGCTTAAAGAAAAAAATGTACTATATTGAGTGGAAAGATGTCATCATCACTCAAGTTACGAGAGGAAACAGTACTCTCGGTTACTATAAAGCTTTATTCCAGCAAGACAGATAGCCTTCACACCTCGTGTCCTAAGTTTAACTTTCCTAGAAAAACCCCAAAACATCAGGAAGAAACATTTGTATGCACTTGCTAAGTAACTTCAGATTTTCCTGTAAGTTTTCAATAAAGCCTAAGGCTGACAAGCAATTCACAGAAGCTATTCTGCATGAAGAACTTTATTTATTTAAACTGTTCAAAGTCCATACACCTTAAAATAGGATGACCTAAAAATCCCCAACAGTTACACTGTTGGTAACACAGATAATTCCTTCCCCATCTCCTTTAGAGAAAAAGTCTTGTCACGTCTGGCTTTTTCCCCCCAGAAGTTCTAAATAGTAACATGTGCCCCTTTTGCATTTTGAAAAAAGTGAAGAAATGGCATACTGGTTGGGGATGAGGTACATATTCAGTGTGTATCATTAGCAAGCTAAAATCATTTCAGAGTCTACTTTTGTCCCATTTCATAGAGTCTACTTTTCAGGTTCAAAAGAGACAGGATCAAGTCCTTTACTTTAAATGAAGCAGCAAATTAAACTTACCAACAATTTTGGTCTTAGTTTAAGGACAAGAGTTTATCACTGAAGCAACACTTTCTAGGTTCTGACTCACTATCACAAGGACAAGATAATTAAGCAGCAGCCAGAGCATTTTCTCCCTTGGTCTTTAGTGGGAGCTGGGAAAGTTTGTAGCTGGGCTACTCAGCCAAAGAGGAAAGCACTTGCTAGAAGAACTTTGGCTTGTGTACACAGAATGAAAATAATTATTTAGCTCACTAAGATCTACCAACTAGCAAACATTTATGTTAGTTCTAGGTGTTTTAGATCAGAATCTGACCTAAAATCTTACATACTGTTAAAATACTACTCGGTATAAGTCACTACTTATGCAGTAAAATACTACTCTGCATAAGTCATCAGTAAAAGCTATCATTCACTTTCATTCCAAGTACAAGAATCTGAGCTTCTGTTAAACCATGCTTTCTCCAGCTATAATCTGATACAAACCTTGAGACAGAGAGCTAATTGGCTATTTTATCTAGCATTTGAGTTTCAAAATGGTTTCAGTAATTTCTTAAAGCCTGCCTGTTGTTGTCATCACTTTAGAATTTTATGCTAAAATAGGTGAAAGCAGAAAACAGAAATACAAAGCCAAGAGAAGCCTTGTAAACATAGATAAATTTGGGGCTTGATCTGTATCATTACAATTAATACACTGTATCAATCAATATCAATTGAATTATTAATTATTGATTCATAATCATACATTTTTCCAAATKAGTAATTTCAGATCAGGAAACCCAAATGCATTTTAAATATGACTCCAGATAAAAAAAAAAATCCTGCTACAATTATATTAGTTTAACAGCTGCATCTCAATAGAGATTATGTAATATCAAAATAAAGTATAGTTATCAGCTACACTTATCAAATGACTAGACTTTTCGAGACTTATTAGAAGTCAGACACTTCTACCTTATTTTAAAGTTTAATACCATTTAGGCCTCTGGAAGTCACTATGCGTTATCAGTGGATATACTGGTAATTAACAACCCATGTGGATTCAGTACAGATTCAGTCAAGCAAAGGCCTCTAGTCTTCATACTGAATCAACTAGACAAAGCAGGAACTGAGATGTGTAAGCCAAAGAGGTGCAAAATCTTGAAAACATAAGACCTTAAGTTAGTTCCTCAGTCTCTTCCCCCTGCTTATTCCCAACTGGAAGTAAAAAATTGCCTGTGTGATGACCAAGTTTACGCAGCTATGAGCCACAAACACTACAAGCCCACATGAGCTCTGCACATCTCTGAAAGAAACAGTCTCAGGTTTCTCTGAGTACTCTCATTAATACTCTAAACAATGATAATTAATTAAGTCTYCTTTCATTAATTAAAATGAATTAATTCAGCATATAACCACAAAGTTCTTGGACAACCTAAAAAAACGGGACACAGCCTAGTTTCGGGGCTGGTAATACCACTTACATGTTTCAAAACAAAACAAGAACGACATTGCAGAGTTTACACATTAATTCTCCATGTTGTGTAAACAGCCACAGTTTCCTTACTCGGYCTCTGGCTAGTAACTCTGCCACCTCCCCAAAACCCACTGTGCTGAAGAATAATATTTGCATCTATGTGGCGAACCAGGTCAACAAAGCTGTCTAATGAAAAAAATTTTCCTTTTTCCTATTACTTCCCTTGCTAAAACTCTGCCACTCTCGTAACTCTACAGARAGATGGTTTGGGGATAAATTAGCACAAAAGCACCTAATAAATAAATCACAGGACTAYTTGCTGCTTAAGAGACTCTAGGAGCAGAGTAGAAAACAGGAAGAACACACCCCTTTTAGCAGGGAATCATCTTAGCTCTTAATCAGGAAAGCAAACAATGTGTCTTTCATTCCACCAAACTGGGACTGGTTTAGGATATTCACCTTTCGACTCTGTAATCCTCAGGAACATCTACAGTAGGCTACTTGCTTTATCACAATTATTGAAAATACAATTTGGCCTATTTTAACTAGCCAGCTTTAAAGTTTCTTAATACCAACACTGAATGAGGCTTCTGCAGAATCTGGTGAGACTTCAGGATCTGGTGAGGCTACTTGTGGACATATTAAAGAAAAAAAAAACCCTTTTTTTTTTTTTTGTTTGTTTTTGTATACCTGTAGCAGGAGTTGAATTGTTCATGGTAGAAGGCCTGTTAGTGACACCAGAAGAAAGAACTCGTCACGTCCAAGCTAAAAAACAAAAGACAGGATTAAAAGTAAATGATGTTATAGAGTAAGTAGCTTAATATAAAGGCTAAACAGCTCTTGTCATTTATTCTTCCTAAGAAAATTCCCTTTATATACTTATTATTCACTACTTAGCATGCAGGCAGCTTGTTAAGAGCTTATATTTCAACAATAACATAAAAGCAAGCATCAAGCACACAATTGTTTATTCTCTCCCAAGAGGCTGTTATGATGTTCATCTGTGTTACATTGATTCATATTATTCATTAGTATTGATTCATAATTACTTATGCTACTTCAAACAGCATCTGTTTCAAAAGACCAAGCCTAACAAATGGTAAGGAGCTCTGGGAGTGCAAGCGGGAGTAAACAGATAATCCTAAAGATCGGGCCTGCATTTGTGCCTCATCATGGTGGAACTTGAGCAAAACTTTAACTCAGCTCATTTTCAAATATATCTATTATTACACATTTTTAATCTAATCCTTATACTGACAATCAGTTGGTAGATAACCCTGGACATAAGTGATATTGAAAACCAAAGATTTTACAGCACTGAGAGTTTGGGGCTCTAGCCTACTAAGTAAAAAAGTCTGAGCACTTTAAGTTCTCCATCCACAAAACAGTACCTAGATGCCAGGTTAGTTTATTTAGCTACTGTTGAATTCTCTTATATGCCCTCAATCACCATCTTATCCATATCATAGTTCTCCAAATTGCCAACATACCACATACCCTCTAAAAGGCAGCTGAAGTTCCTTAAACTTTTACCACATTTACCCATAAAATTATTTAAAGCAAATATCCATTGCTTTGGTGGAAGGAAAGGTCCCTGGCCCCAGTACTCATCAGTCATGGCCCYACACTGTTCACCTCGCATCACCTTCAGAGCCCACCAGACTCGCTGAGAGATGGTGGAGCCCCCAGCTCAACATAACACACTGATTTAGGTTGTTCACCTCCTAAAAGATGGTGTTGAACAGTGGCAGGATCCACATCAAAGGAGAGAACAGAATCAGTTGCACAGAAGATGGGTGTAAAACTCATGCTTTCGGCAACAGCAAGGCATAATGCTGATTTACACTGGCTGTGGAAGAACACGCACAGTTTTTTTTTTTTTTTAATTACTTTGTAAGCAGGAGGTGTTGCTACTGAAGGGGGTAGTTTTGATCTTTTACTGGTTACAATAAACCACATGTTCCTGCTGCTTTCCTCTGGTTGGTTATTCACAGAACAAGATTATGACTAGATAAAAAAACGAGGATGTTTATCAGCCAAACTTACTGCCCATGAAGAAACACAAGAAATAATATCGGAAGCCAGAAAACATGTGTGGGTTCATTCCCTTCCCAGCTATCCTGCAATATAACTAGTAAAAACTTTCCTGGCCATGGACTAAAAGCAAAAATAAAGCTGATRTAAAAATGTTCTAGAAAAGCACACCGACAAATGAATACAGTAAGAGTTCTCACTTAAATGAGAATACAATGTGAACACGCTGAGAGAGGAGACTGGTAACCCATAAGATAAATCCAAAACAGATGACAGCATTCAAGCTTCTGAAGCAAGTCAACCTCTCTTATTCCATAGCTGGGAGAATTAACTTTAAAATATTCTAGAACATTATGAAGTACCTAACRTCATGACAAAGATTTACTATATAGTACTACGCTGGTAAAAAGCCTGGCAAGGTCTTAGGCATTCAACAAGTCCTGACAAGGCTGGGGCGCCAAGTTCTTGACACATAGGTGTTTCTTCTGGCACAAGAATACACTCACTAAAGGCAGCACTGCAGCTCTACCTGCATGCTGAGAGCACTGTACCAACTATACAGTGAATCTTCTTTCTTTCAGGTGACAGCAAAATAAACTTGGGGCTTTTTTGAAACTAAATTGCTCTATGATTTGTTTTTATTTATAGTAATAGATGTGTTAATGATTCCGCAGTTCAAGGCTGTACTCATAGCAAAATAATATAGCAACATCTGAAAATCAAAATCAGCATTCATAACAACTCTGTAAGTGAAATATTAATTACTCAATGAATCTAAATTAATGAAATCTATGAATATTAAAAATATTGAAAAAAGTTTTATGGAAATAAAACCACATTCCCCTSTCCCCTCCAAATCTCAATGGTAATATTGATATTTTGTATTTATTCAATATGAAATTCTATTTATTCTATATGGAATATCAATTCTATATTGATATGAAGAAAGATAATCCTCTTATCTTTCCTTATCCTTATGTAAGAGGATTATCTTTCTTCATAGTTRCAAATTTGCAAGTACTGTTAAATTAATTGCAAATGGGATATTCTCATCTACAAAAATGTGTTTTTTCTCKTCTTGAGCATTCTTTCTAGACTATCATTTTTTAGTTAAAGAATATGATTGTAACTCCTTCTTATGAGATAGCTAGAATAACCAATAAAGTAGTCCAATTTTAAAAAATAATAATTTTTCTTTCAYGACAAATATCTTTCTCCTTGTATATATTAAATTTTGGCACTCTTTTCTAGGAGAACCTATATGAAAAGATGAAAACTACTGTAGCAAAGTGTGTACAATCTGAAAAATGACATTTTCAGATGACATGTTCATAGCAGTAACAAACAGCTATTAAATATTCAGGAAAAAATAACCTAAATCTAAGGAATATGACATTAAACTCTTTTACTTCTTTGGTAAGCTATCTACATATCTGTCATATTACTTATGTTCCCATAGGCCATTCACAACAGCAAGATGTGAAACCTTCTTCCAGATTGAGGATTTATTATAAAGGGACTATTTAAATATTTTGGTGCCATTTCAGAAAGGCATTTCAAGGAAAACAAATAGCCAGTGTCGTATGCTTGTACGAACATGTCAGGCTGAAAAAGCCGTCACTTCAATACGTTGAAACAGAATTAAGTTATAGGCAATGATCAGAACCCAGGGAACCTCCCTGCCTCTGCTCCAAGCCCCCCAGACTCCTTGTCTCTGCAGGCTGACCATTAGCCACCCTGCAAAGATGCCTGTGACTTTAGCACAGAGGTTGCTATTCAGCAGCCTTCAATGCTCAGTGGAACCACTAGCTCTGTCATCCCTGCTATTAATTATTGAAGCTCCCTGCTGGACCTGTAACATGATACTACTGACTTTTTAGAAGCCGTGCAACAATAATTAAAGGAACAGTGGGGGATGAGGAAAAAAAAAAAAAAAAAAAGCAAAAAGCACTAGGCCTGTGATTTCATTAATGAAAAGTATACGAGTTTTTTAGAACACCTAATTTAGTATCAAATAATTAAAGCACAGAGGGACAGACATGCATTTCTGAATCTACTCTACTCACAGTTTTTAAAATTTAAGCTTTTATACCATAAAGATAGCTTATACAAGTGCTTCCCTACTGGCAAATGCTATATTGAAATTGGAACAATGCATGCTCACAAAAATCCCAAAACATATCACCAGAGCTTAGCACCTATTGCAAAGCCATCAGTTTCAAGAACTGCACACAAAATAGCATTCAGTCATCCTTTCTTAAATTTTCTAATAGGAAGTAAATAAACTATGTAATCTTTTCTGCATTTTCCCACTGAACAGCTGAATAAAAAGATTAATAATAACTATCCACACAGATGCATTTTGCCTGTTGCTTTCTTCTAAACAAGTATTTCTCAATTTATCACTATAAATTGTTCTTCAAGACAGATGCAACTGTATTAAATAACGAAACCCAAACCCAAAACACTTTCTAACACCACGCAAATGATAACAATGTTGGTAAATTACATCCGGGAGCTATGTAAATTGCAATGAGGTCCTTTTCAGCTCATATATGTTTGCCCTCCATGTCAAGAGCAAGASGGTGAAAAAGGAGATTAATTTTACCAAGCTATAGTGTTCATTCATCCTTTACTGAAAACGAGGGAGAAAAATGAGGGGGAAAGGGCATAAGAAAAGAGCTGGGCWGCGCCCTGAAATTCTGTCATTCACCATGCCAGTAAATCCATACATGTGAAGAATGATGTGTAATACCCACCYGGACCATCTCCCTTCCCTGCAAAGCCATCAGTTCATGTATGTGTATGATCAATAAAAAAAGCACACTGAAAGTTTCTTCAAGACGTTGCTTATAGYAACGTCTTTCAAGAGATCATAGCCAGAGTGCATCAAAACGGAGTGCCAGATCTTGGGTTTACAACCACTGCTTCAGCTAGCAGCAGCTCAGACAAAGGAGGCAGCAAGCTGCTGCTTCCAGGACCAGGGGGTGCAGAAGGCTCCGATAAGCAGTCCCATTTTGAATACATGAGCATTAGGTGGTTGTGTGGTTGCTCTGCAGGCATTTAGTCCTTCACTGCAATAAAACTCTCAGTGAAAGAAAAGCAGATTGATCAAAGCTTGTTCTACCCTATGTACATAGAAAATACATGCATTATTTCGGGTAGCAGTGACCTAGTTAATTACTTTTGGCCTTTCAAAGCTGACAAAAGCCCTTCTGAGAGACAAAAGGCCCAAGAGTCAAGGCATGCTGGACCAATGTTTTGAACAAGAGTGCTGTATGATCAGCTCAGCATCMCCAGCTCTACCCTGGACAACCTAGGATGTGGCAGGAGCAACTTCATTGACATAGGTATCTGATGGGTCTTGAAGCTTACCTAACTTCAGTTATTTTGAGCTCACTTAAAATAGTCAAATATTTTTCCTTTTCACAGCATTTGACTTAAGAAAAAAAAAGAGAGAAAACGTAATTTGTTTTTTAGCAATGTCAGAACTATATACTTGTTTTTATTTCATTAAAGTATTCAATCTAAGGCCTTTTAACTTAGGACAGACTACTGCATACTCATGTATATGAAACTGTTGTTGTAAAGTATCAGCCTTCCATAAATCTTCACAATTTTCCTTCTCTAACCAGGAAACTGAGGGTAGTACAGTAACAGTTTAGGCTAAGCAACACAGTCAAATTGTTCTCACACTATAAATCATCTTGGGAACATTGCTGTTACCAAGT